TGCCATTCTAGCCATTAAATAAGTGTATAATTTCATGGCATTATTTACATTTATACTTTTAACAGAAAATTACTTTAAAGAAGTCTTGTATGGCAAGAAAAAAACTTAATGAATTTTTAAGAGTGGGCATGGCTTCCTTGCCGATACCATTTTGGTTTTGTTGTATTCCACCATGGCAGTACCTTGAAACACACTGTTCTCTCATTAGGGACTCAAACCACTCCATCTTGCACATGTATCTGGTATCAATGGATACACTGTTTCTGAGTCAAGACGCCAGAAGATCCTTCTAGACTACAAGTCACAGTTCTAGCCCTGCCGAGGAGACCACGGTGGCTCCAGCTCAGAATCTGCAGAAGCACAAAGTTCTATCCACAGCACTCAGGGCATGGAACCTCTGGACTGGTCTAGTCAGGATATCAACAGCTTGCTTAGCCCTGGATTCAAAGATGAGGAAGAACTACAGGGTCAGTGCCTAGATGGGACATGTGCTTTACTGATCTCAGGAAACTGAGGTTCCCTGGGAGAGACAAGAGACTGGATGGTGGTACGCCTGTACTCTAAACTCACTGAGTCATGCAGTATGTAAAGATCCCACCTCAGCCTATCCTTGAACAAAGCACATCTATTACCTTACAGTGTCTTTGTACTTTCTCTAATAAATCTGCCTCTATTTACCTATGACTATCTTGGTAAATTCCCTTACTGCCTGTGACACCGGTCCCAGCCAGTCACACCCATGGCACGAAGGAAATTCAGCTGGGGATGCTGGAGTAGGCTTATCAGACAACTGACCATATGCAGCACAGTGACTTACTTGGCAAGCCTGCCAGAGGCTGAATGGAGTCCTGGGTCTATCTAGTTATTTATCAGGGTGATTCCTGACAAGTACAGGTCCTCCTTACTGGCAATGATGACAAATGCAAAAACAATTCAAAAGGTCATAGTTTTCCTGGATGTAACTGAAACCCATGAAAGACAAAGTCAGAGTGAAGTGTTGCATGTTACTTCTACAAACAATATGCCACCTGGCCTAAATAAAAATTCCCAACAGCAAGGTCACTTCACCATCTTAGGCCAAACGCACCACTTACAGGTAGGTTCCTGCTTAAATGTGAATCTTGAGATTAACAAGAAGTTACATTGGATTTTAAGAGATGAGGGAGTCTCAAAATGGGTGATCTCTGATAATAGGGAGAGGAATTATGATACTAGGATTAGACTACAGTCCACAGCAGGCTTCCCCTTTGGAAACGGTGCTAACTTCCACATCTGTCTTGATCCAAAAAATAAACAACACTGGCTGACTCTGTTGGACTTATGTGATGAAATCTCTTCAATCTCAGGAAGCACTCATTCTTTACAGGAATCCCTCTCCTGGAGGTGTCCAGCTTGTGAAGATGGTTAATTAAAGGAGTAATTACCCATTTAACTATTAAAATTGGGCCAGTTTTGCCAAAATGCTTCTGTCCTGGATGTTCCCCCTAAGAATACTCTTTTTTCTCATTATTAGAATGGACCCACTCAGTTAGCAGGTAACCTCGTGGAACAGGCCTAAAGCTTTCATACTTTTCTTGGGTGCTAGCTGCAAAAAGCCAGTTAACCTTCCCCTACCAGTGCAGGCAGTAAATACACCACAGTACCAGCTAAGGCAAGGCACTGAAGTGTTACAGCCTGACAGAGCTGACTTAGTCATCTCCCTGTTCAATTCTCTGATATGGCCTTTGCTTAAAGCCATTACTAATATGAAAGCTAACTATAGACTACAAACAGTTAAAACCGACTATTCTATTCATTAGAGTACCTCTACCAGATATCATCCCCTTTAAGAGTGAATTATTTGGAGTAACACTTGGCTAACTTGTTCTATCCCGTAAAAATTCCATATGAGAGTCAGCCACACTTCACCTTTGAGGGTCAACCGTACACCTTTTCTTGTTTCCTGTGGGATACTTAAATAGCCCTGTGATTGCACACAGGCTTTGATGACAGCACCTAGATACCCGCCTCACACTCCCATTAGAAATTTGGCTTTGGCATTATATTGATGATGTCCTCCTCAGTGGACCTGACCAAGACTCCGTCTTAAAGACCATCACAACTGTGAGTAAACACATCACTGAGAGGGGATCAGAAATTGCCCCATATAATACAGGGACCCTCTGAGTCTGTTAGATTTTTGAGCTGTTTGGAACACAGAAGAGTGAATTATTCCAAATCACCCTAGAAGCTAAAGACAAACTTGTAGTGCTCAACCTCCTACACTGGGAAAGGAGGCCCAAGATTTAGTAGGAATGTTTACATTCTGATACCAACACATTCCTCACCTCCAATATTTGATGGCCTACAACAACCCTGTCATTTGTAAGTCCTCGACTTTTCAGTGGAATCTGAACAACAACAGGCTCTAGATAAACTAAAGGAGGCTATCATGTCAACTCTCCCATGAGTGCCCCGAGAGCAGGACTTACAATTAGAGGTTTCAGCCACCCCAAAATTTGCTACCTGCAACCTCTGGACCAAATGAACAGTTAAACGATTAAGCATTGGCATTTGGTGTAAGCAGCTTTCAGACTTCGCCCTAAAGTACTTTCCATTAGAGAGGCATTTCCTGAAGGCATAGTGGGAACATATCAAAACTGAAGCCTTTACTGGGGGAGAGCCAGTTACCCTGTGAACTAAGATTCCTATTATGCCCTGAGTGATGGAAAAAGATCCTGGTAGAATTGGGCTATAACAGAGGCCTCTTCGTTAAATGGAAATGATATCTAGAGGATTAAGTTAAACCTGGGCCAACTGGAGTATCACAACTCCATGAGGAAATAGCCATATACTCTGCTACTGAGGTTAACTCATCAAAACCTGCCACTCTAGCTCAATAGGGACTGTAGAGAGGTTAGGCCACACACTCAAAACAAAAAAGCAATGGTTTTTCTTGATTGATGGAGCAAGTATGCAGTACAAGGGAACCAAACAATGAACAGCTACAGCCTATCACCCCTATTCAAATAGTTCAATTTCCATTTGGGGAATAGACCAAAGTGCCCAATGGACTGTGCTGCATCCAATACTCCTAGCAATAGACAAACATACTCCTAAGGTTTATATTTTTTACCTACTACAGGTTGGTGGGTAATAAGCCACCTACTTGGTCAGGAATTTGGTAAAATCAAGGCTGGAAAATACAAAGTTGATATATTTAGGATAAAGAAACATGGCAAAAAATTGCCACAGTGGCTCCCACTGGCTATCGTGGTGCATCATTCCTTGGCTCATACCAAATAAAAATAGAGGACGCATGATGCAACACCAAGGATGACAAACCAAGTCACCAAAACAGATAGGTATTTTGAAGGAAGGGGCATCACCAGAACTTTGGGATGAGTCACTCTACTCCTTCTATCAGTGTAACATGAGAAGTCAGGGTTTTGGACATTGTAGGGTTATGAAAATGAATTGTTAATAGAGGAGTCAACTCAGTAGAGAGATATTTACAGAAACCCATTAGGGACGGTACCACATGTCAGAAATCTATAAACTGGGTCTACTGCATGAGAGGAAAAGTGCACAGAGGAGAAAGGCCACATCGTAACTGGACAATTTATTTCATTTGGTCTTTTCCTGCAGTGGCAGGAGCCATTAAATATGTCTTAACAATGTTAATAAACAGGCTTTTGTTGGCTCATTTATACAATGCACTAACCTGTGGTAATATCACTGAGGGGGTCAACAAAGGTGCTTTTTCAGCCATTGTGAGTACCATAAGTTACACAGTCAGATCAAAGCTCTTATTTTGCCACAAAGCAAAGCAACAACGGGCATCACAAAAGAACACTGATTCCGGTTTCCACCTACCTTTTCTTCCTAAAACAACGGGTACCATAGAAACTCTTGAGGGCCGGGCGCGGTGGCTCAAGCCTGTAATCCCAGCTACTCAGGAGGCTGAGGCAGGAGAATTGCCTGAACCCAGGAGGCGAAGGTTGCGGTGAGCCGACATTGCGCCATTGCACTCCAGCCTGGGTAACAAGAGCGAAACTACGTCTCAAAAAAAAAAAAAAAAAAATAGTGGTGGCGCGTGCCTGTAATCCCAGCTACTCAGGAGGCTGAGGCAGGAGAATTGCCTGAACTCAGGAGGCAGAGGTTGCGGTGAGCCGAGATCGCGCCATTGCACTCCAGCCTGGGTAATGAGAGCGAAACTCCGTCTCAAAAAAAAAAAAAAAAAAAAAAAATGCTTCTTGAAACAAAAAACACAGAGCCTTCAGTGTGGCCTGGTTCTCTTTAATTGGACAGTAAATACAATTTTTCTAAGCTCAGAAAGGGCTTAGAAAAATATTTTCAGAAAAAGCCAGGAGGAGTGAGAAGGGGACAAGGCAGCAGCAGGAAAGAGGGGATTCATCCAGGTCGACAGGGGCCCAACACAAGGGACATGTGCCCTTTCGTAGAGGGTATTCAACTAGAGACACAGAAGCTGACACAAAGACATTGCAACACCAACAATTGCAAACATAATTTTTAAAAACAGAGAGAAAGGCTGTGCAGTGTAAGGGTTCTTCGAAGCAGTAAGCACTGTGAAGTTTTCTATACTTGTACCCTAACACGGATTCATTTCTAAAAACCAATAGGCAATAAATTTTCTCAAGGGGCACACTGTTAATTTTTTCTTTAATTCTGTTTCTGGTTTTTTGCTTACTTTTTGCAGAGTGCATCTAAGCAGCTGGCACATCCTGCAAATCCAGTCCCAAGCTCCCGTTCCTGGAGGCCTGAGAAGCATGGCAGGCTCCTAAGTTAATTTCTTGTATGTTAGCTTAATTTCTAACCCCTGTCAAATACTAACTACTGGATCTGGAGGGCTGGGAGAAGAGGAAACACTTCTACAAGGCCTCTGGGACTGTCATGAGGTCGGCCTGTTACACTTGGCAAATCTGCTTGCCCAATTCTGCACAGCAGCTTCCTCTGGGAAGACTCTCCACCAAGACCAGAGTAGGCAGCTAAGATGCAACATGGAGACCCAAGTACGACACCCACGCAAGCACATCTACAGCACAACGCGTGCAAGCATCCCCCCACCCTGCTCCCCGAGACTCCGTGCTCCCTGCAACGCGGGGCGAGGCCAAGCCCCTGACGCATGCGCACCTCAGTAGGCCCAGCCCACACAATGACTGGCAGGAAGAAGAAACCCAAGAAAGGAGGTCTCTAAATGGATACACTGTAAGCAACCGAGTCTACCCGCTAGAAAAAGAAGACCCTCCCAAACTGCGAGCCGCAGTTCCAGTCCCGCCGAGGAGAGAGTAGGAGCTCCCAGCCCAGAGTCTGCAGAAGCGCACAGCCCCATCCACAGCACTGACGGCATGGAGCCACTGGACAGGTCCAGCCAGGGTATCACCAGCATGTTCAGTCCTGAAGTCGACGAGGAAGAAATACTACAGGGTCAGTGCCTGGACACGTGCTTTAGCAATCTCAGGAAACTGAGGTTCCCTGCAAGAGGCGCGTGGACTGGACGGTGGCCTGGCACCACCACTGCTCTGAGTGCAGCCCTTCAGAGCTTCCTTCCCACACCCTCCGCTCCAATGCCTTGATATTTCTCTTTCGGTTTCTACTTTTCCAGGTCTGGAGGCTGCGGTGCTGTCTCTTATTGAAGAGTCCGATGAGGAGGAAGGGGAGACACAGCCCAAACCTGAGCAAGGCACAGCAGCAGCCGCACAAAAGTCGGCAGGAGCCTATGGCGGAGAAGAAAATGTAGGTGGCGGCATTAGCGCAGGAGCTCCTGGCCCCCTAAAAGACGAAAACCACGAGGGCATCGGCGGCAGCAATGGCGGCGGTGAGCACAGCGAGGACAACAACAGGGAACCCAGACAGGAGCCGCCTCCCCAGGGTGCCAGCTCGGGACTGGAGCCTGATAACAGGCAGCGGCCTTTCGTCCAGAGCTTCACTGCATCCCAGCGGCGGGAGCTGGAAGGCATTTTCCGGCGCTCTCAGTTCCCCGGCGAGTTCCTACGGTAAGCCGGTTGCTCTAGTTGGCAGCTGTTTGCAGGGAGCACGTGCTGCTCCAGGGAAACATTTGGCTCTCCCCCAGCGCTTCTCCACCCAAATCCCCTCCTGAACCAAAAACCACCTAGGACCTGGAGTCGCTGCCGTCCCCTCCTCGGCGACCCCTGGCACCTGGTTGGTTCTGGAGTGGGGCTATGCCTAGTGGGCATCATGCAGAATTTAAATGCACCAAGTTGGGCAACTCTGGCCTGAGGTCTGTTATGATAAGTAACTCGTAATTCAGCCAAGGCAGAAATAAAGGTGAGAAGCCTAAGGCGTGATAAGTGCAGGGTCGCATACTGCCTTTATTTAAAATTCTGAGAAGTCTGTTGTTTGTCATGGGTTTCTTTGGCATTTATTTTTCTAAGTTTCAAATATTATATTAGAATGTCATTTATCTTGATTACTGATTTTTTTTATTTTATTTTATTTTATTTTTTTTTTTTGTGGCATTGCCTTAATTTGGGGCCTGAGAGAAAATTCCTAATGTGAGGCTCAGCTGGATGTTACAGAACAGCCTACTGGATGTAGGGGAGTTAGTGGAATAAAAGATTAAACACAAGCATGAAACGATACCCGTAAATCCAAATGCTGAACATATGTGGTTTTTTTCCGCAGAAACGAGCTTGCAAGACGCATGAATGTGACTGAAGTCGCAGTGCAGGTCAGTAAATGGGAAAAAGCAATTGGGCAGGGCAGCCATTCTAAAACCTGCTTCAGGGCTTAGACACAACTTTAACCTAGACATTGCCACGTTGGGGTTTTTGTTGCCTTTTTCATGTATGGGAAATGAGGTGTGAACTTTGGGATCTTTGTGGCTGGAAAATGGGGTAAGAAAAGCTGGCTTGTGGAAATTTCTCATTACCAGAGGGAACATGACTATCCACGGAAAAAAAGAAAATTAGTACTGAATTATTTCCTGTATTCCTGTGTCTAAATTATATTAATGCTATATATTAAAATTATAAATGTATAAATATATGTTCCAAATGACAAATATATATGTATATGTTATATAACAGTATAAATTAAATGTAGCATAGTATATGATAAGGTTCGACTCCTAGCACTGGTAAACTCAAAGTAGCACTTTCATGTGGAGGCATACTAGGGTTTTCTGACATGGGAATTATCCAAAGAGCTCCATTAAACTAAATTATTCAATATATTTAAAACCAAGCATAAACTATTTGGTTAAGAATTTGTAAATGTTTAGGCATTGGGGTAAAGGAATAATTCACAACCAGAATACGTTTTCTTAAGCTGAGACTCATAGGCAGGGGGCAGCTTAAAGTTAAATTGCCTGGCTTTCCTATTGTTGTTTTTAAGTATTTGGTAAAGCCTTGTAGAGAGTAGCAGCTCTAACTTTTAATTTTCTGAAATACTTTGATATGCCAGCCTGAAAACACTCCTGACCTAGTTGGTTGTGCATTATGGTAGAGACAGGGAAAAGGTTTGCAACCTTTGGAAATTTCTCTAGAAACCAAAACAAACTAAAAAATAAATTTTGGGCCGGGCGCGGTGGCTCACGCCTATAATCCCAGCACTTTGGGAGGCCGCGATGGGTGGATCACGAGGTCAAGAGATGGAGACCATCCTGGTCAACATGGTAAAACCCCGTCTCTACTAAAAATACAAAAATTAGGCCGGGTGCGGTGGCTCAAGCCTGTAATCTCAGCACTTTGGGAGGCCGAGGCAGGTGGATCACCAGGTCAAGAGATCGAGACTATCCTGGTCAACATGGTGAAACCCCGTCTCTACTAAAAATACAAAGCATTAGCTGGGCATGGTGGCGCGTGCCTGTAATCCCAGCTACTCAGGAGGCTGAGGCAGGAGAATTGCCCGAACACAGGAGACGGAGGTTGTGGTGAGCCGAGATCGCGCCATTGCACTCCAGCCTGGGTAACAAGAGTGAAACTCCGCCTCAAAAAAAAAAAAAAAATTAGCTGGGCATGGTGGCACGTGCCTGTAGACCCAGGTACTCGGGAGGCTGAGGCAGGAGAGTTGCTTGAACTCAGGAGGCGGAGGTTGCCATGAGCCGAGATCGCGCCATTGCACTCCAACCTGGGTAACAAGAGTGAAACTCTGTCTCAAAAAAAAAAAAAAAAAAAAAAATTAATTTTGAACAAATTTCCAGCAACCTAAAAAGGATAGAAGTCTTGGGCAAAAATTGTATACAGTCACACTTATGTCTTGGGGAAACTGCATGCATTCAACTTTTTTTTTTTTTTTTTTTTTTTTTTTTTTTTGAGACTGAGTTTCGCTCTTGCTACCCAGGCTGGAGTGCAATGGCGCGATCTCGGCTCACCGCAACCTCCGCCTCCTGGGTTCAAGCGATTCTCCTGCCTCAGCCTCCCAAGTAGCTGGGATTACAGGCAACTACTACCAACCACACCTGGCTAATTTTTGCCTTTTTTTTTTTTTTTTTTTTTTTTTTGAGACGGAGTTTCTTGCTCTTGTTACCCAGGCTGGAGTGCAATGGTGCGATCTCAGCTCACCACAACCTCCGCCTCCTGGGTTCAGGCAATTCTCCTGGTTCAGGCAATTCTCCTGTCTCAGCCTCCTGAGTAGCTGGGATTACAGGCACGCGCCACCATGCCCAGCTAATTTTTTGTATTTTTAGTAGAGACGGGGTTTCACCATGTTGACCAGCATGGTCTCGATCTTTTGACCTCGTGATCCACCCGCCTTGGCCTCCCAAAGCGCTGGGATTACAGGCCTGAGCCACCGCGCCCGGCCATACATTCAACTTTTCAAAAAAATTTTATTGAGACAGAGTCTTGCTCTGTAGCCCAGGCTCGAGTGCAGTGGCACGATCTCAGCTCACTGCAAACTCTGCCTCTTGGGTTCAAGTGATTCTCCTGCCTCAGCCACCCAAGTAGCTTGGATTACAGGCATAAACCACCATGCACAGCTAATTTTTGTATTTTTAGTAGAGACGGGATATCACCATATTGGCCAGGCTGATCTCAAACTCCTGACCTCAAGTGATCTGCCTGCCTCTGTCTTCCAAAGTGCTGAGATTACAGGTGTGAGCCACCATGCGTGGCCCTGCGTTCAACTTTTGAAACTACCAAATTCATCAGTGAATGTTTTCTTGAGCAATTTCTAACATTTAAGAAATTTTTTCTTCTAGTTTGTGGTACTATTATCAAGAGTTGCATTTTCTGAAATGTGTTGATAGTGGGGGATGGCTCTCAGTTCAAGCTAGACCTCTTACCTTTGGTAATTTGAAATAGCTTCTTATTTGCTCAATAATAATTAATTTATAGGTGAATGGATGCAAAGGAATATTTGCAAAAAAGGAAAACAAGAAAGAAAAATCTGGAAGGTCTTAATAGCTTTTCTACAGAGCACACGTGTGTGAGTGCAGTGAGGGAACTGTGCTGAGGTTCTGTCAATGGTGGCATGTAGAAAAGCAGCCTGACAAAATGGGGCACTGAGTGATGGCATCCTGTTGCCCTCCACTTTCTCAGGCAGACAGCGCAACTTTGGGGGAGAAGAAATATTGACGTTTTGGTGAATTGCCTTGCCCCTCCCCAGGTTTACCTAGCATTCACTCAATACAGTTCTAAAGGGAAAATGACCACTCTCACTCAGCAAATAAGGAAAAAGGCATGACGTTCTTATCTATTGCCAAACATTTCAGCATGAATATCTCAAAACAACTTTCAATAGATGTTTCATCCTTCTATTTTGTAAAGATAGTAAGGGCTGTTTAATAAAACCAACAATGAGAATAGGGACCTAATGTTGGCCCACAGTACATTTAGCCCACTTTTGGCCATTGCTTTTGTTATGAACCTTTGACCACTGGTACATTTGAGTTGCCTCTTTATAAGCACTATTACAACAGACTTCAAATTTAGACTATATATTCATGAGGGAGAAGGACTCCAAATAGTAAAGATGGGAGAAGAAAATGGGGCATCAAACAGGAAGAGGAGGACCTTTGTCCCATAAATTGTGCGGTTTGGGAACTTCCAGAAGGATAAAAATACAATGGAAATGTCATTAATTAGAAGCTGGGGTGATAGTGTTATTTAATGGACAGGTTTTATTCTTTTAACAGTTGGTAGGTGTTTAGGGAGTAGTGTTTTTGATACTTGCTTTACATTACTACTGAACATCTTCAGAGATGCCTGCTTGGACTTTTTCGCTTTGGGAATGTGGATGAGATTGGGATCTTCTACTTGAGTAGCGGGGCTAGATGGCTGAAGGCATCCTGCAGAGCTGAGCAACCAAGTCTCTGTCCCAGAACCCGGGACTGTAGGGAGAACCAAGTGATCCGACCTTGTCCTGAGCCCGGGAAGGTCTGGAAGGAGGGATGGGCTGGGGCATGCAGAATCAGCAATGCTTCCTTTCCCCCAAAGTCTCAACTGGGCAAAGCTTTCTGAGAATTTTTGTGAATTTGGACATTTGTGTCCTTCTTCCACAAAACTTCCAGCTGAAATATGAAGACAGTGTCCAGGGCTTCAGATACCCCCATTTCCCAGCAAGACAATCCACAAGCTCCCTGGGTCCCCGGTGCCCAGACATGCCTTGCAATACCATCTTTTCAATTCTCAAGAAGTTTTGGACTATGAATGACCTGTTAGAGGTTCTTGAAGGAAAGAAAACTTGTTTTAAAATACAGTGTGCTCCTACTGATTTTTGACTTTATGCTAAGGATGGGCTTTTCAAAAATGGGGGCCGTTCCCCTTGGTATGACTTTAAGGGGTATGCCCCCTTGTTTTCCAAGCTCAGCTTCCCCCATGACCAAGGTAACAGTAGCCTCCTAAGTAGGAGTTGGTGGCAGCTGGATAGCTGATGGTCAGGTGTCCAGAAGCAGATGAACCACACATAGCAATAGCAGCAGGGACCAAGTCCCATTCATCAGCTACACCTGTACCCAAAAGTGAAAAAAGTAGTATTACAGATAGGAGGAGAGAGAAAAAGAAAAGAGCCAAGCCAGAGCATAGGTAGCACACCCTTGGAGGTCACTGGGGGAAAGGTCTGGTGTTCACCTTTCTAAAATATTTTAGTAGTAAGGAAGTAGCTTGTCTTGATGCAATTGAAAACATTAAGGACAGAGAGAGATGCCTGTTGTGTTTTTTCCATGATTATATGAAATGTTCAGTATACTAAATCTGTTCCTTTTTCCTCTGATTCAAGATTTGGTTTGAGAATAGAAGAGCCCGCTGGAGGAGACGTCAGAGGGCATTAAGATTGAGAAACATGTCGCGCCCCATGCACACGAGCCAGCTTGTCATGGTACCCGTGGTTATCCCCTATAATGCCATCCTTATCCAGGAGTGGGATGGAAGATGGTTTTTTCTGCAGCCACAGCTATTCGGGCAGCCTGTGCTCCCCATGACACCTTTTTCTCCTCTTTTCTTTTCTCCTTCACCCTTGCTTAATCCACCTATGCCTTACCCTGTCCAGGCCCAATTTGTCCCATTCTCTTTTGTTTTTGTCCATTTCTTCGCATTCTCCATTGTCTAAGGGATAGTCTCTGTGCCACTTCTTGCCAGTGTCTTTGAGCCAGATTCATATTTTGCATAGCACACCATCAAGAGCTCACCAAATATCTGTTAAATATATTAACAAAAAGTACAAGTACATTGACCCATTGACCCTGAGAGTTGTTCCTTTAGTATGCAAATTTAGTACTATCTAGCTGACAAATGCCTAGGGTTATGAAACAATTTACCATGAAGTTGGGAGTCTGAAATAGGAGGAATAAAAAAGAGGTCTTGCGAATCTATAACACCTACTTCTATGTGCATGTCTAATACATTTATGTATTATTTGTCACCTATACAGTGTTTCATTACCAAAAATATATAAATGAGCTCTGATTCACTGGCCTAAAGAAAAAATAATCACTTAAATACTATATCTGAATAATAGAAATGTTAAGCCTAAATGCTTTTTCAAGTTCATGTGACTTTAGTAAATATTTAATAAATGACCTGGTTTTGAAACTATTGGTAAAATATAATTAGAAATGTCTTCAGAATTGTCAACATATATTATTCTTTAGATTTCTCAAGTAGTTTACTATGTACCTCTGGCAGATATTAAAAGGTGTCAACATTTGCATGAGTGTTATAAAGCATTATGAAGCTTGCAACCAAAAGGAGAATTAGCTTTGTTTTTGTAATGTTTTACATAAATAAAGCATTTAACATTGTTGGTTTAATAAAAACAACTAAACCCTGAGTTATTGGCCAAAAAAAAACCTCGTTTATTTAGCCTTATGTGTCTTACTTAAACACTGAAAAACACAGATATAAACAATTTTAAATGATGATTGCCACAGTTTTCCTAAGTAATCTCCATAAACTAAAAATTCATTAAGTATGTAAATATAATGGAATACATGCTTGTAAATAAACTTAGATAATTTAAAGTCTAAAGTTATACTTAATCAAATATTAAACATTAATTATATGTTTGCATCATTTTCAATGTTTTTAAAAAATTACTGGAAAACATTTTTCTTTTTTTTTTTTTTTTTTTTTTCTGAGATGGAGTTTCATTCTTGTTACCCAGGCTGCAGTGCAATGGCGCAGTCTCGGCTCACCGCAACCTCCGCCTCCTGGGTTCAGGCAATTCTCCTGCCTCAGCCTCCTGAGTAGCTGGGATTACAGGCACATGCCACCATGCCCAGCTAATTTTTTGTATTTTTTAGTAGAGACGGGGTTTCACCATGTTGACCAGAATGGTCTCGATCTCTTGACCTCATGATCCGCCCACCTTGGCCTCCCAAAGTGCTGGGATTACAGGCTTGAGCCACCGCGCTCAGCGGAAAACATTTTTCTAAAAGTATTTTTTATGTAAAGTAAAATAAGTTTTGTCTAATTCAAAAATTATTTAAAGGTTATTTATGAAACAAGGTAAAAGAAACCAGTAAATAAGGGAGAGATAAAGAATTTTATAGATATAAAAGGTGTTTGGGGTAAGAGAGGTTAAAAGGAAAAAAATTTATATGAGAAAGAATCCTCTATGGTAAATTATTTATTTATAAATTTATTTATTTATTATTTATTTTGAGACAGAGTCTTGCTTTGTTTGCCCTGGCTGGGTGCAGTGGCGTGATCCCAGCTCATTGCAACCTCCACTGTCTGGATTCAAGCAATCCTTGTGCCTCAGCCTCTGGAGTAACTGGGACTACAGGCATGTGCCAAAATGTCTGGATAATTTTTGTATTTTTTGTAGAGGTGGAGTTTTCCCATGTTGGTCTGGCTGGTCTCACACTCCCAGCCTCAAGTAATCCACCTTCCTCGAACTCCCAAAGCTCTGGGATTATAGGCATGAGCCACCATGCCCAGAATTGTATTGTAAATTCTTGTGCTAAAATAACTGGTTGTTTACAAAATAGGGATGTTTAGGATAAAACAGGAAGTCCAAGCATGTCATAAACAGTTTGTGTAATTTGTAATAAGGTTTGTAAAAAGAGAATTTATGAGAAAAAAATAACTCTACATGATCAAGTTGGCTCTAGTTAAAAGGAAATTATTTTTAATAGTCTTTCTAGAATTTGGGCTTTGGAATGAAAAAAACACTAATACACTAAATAATTGGTTAGAACAACAACATTTTCTTCAGTTAACTGATTTACTCTTAGGAAACTTACAACAGATTTTTATTTTTTAAACCCAAAAGTTCAACTTCTAGTGCATATCTGTTTCCAGCTTTCTCACCCCTTTGACAAAGCCAGAGTTAAAGCTCTCTCTCCTTCACATTCCTGAATAATCCACCCTCTGTTTAGCATAAGATCAATAAATAACCATAAACACAGGCAACCAGTGGCCCATGCTGCTGCTCTGCCTATGGAGTAGACAGTCTTTTATTCCTTTCCCCTATAAATAAACTTGCTTTCACTTAACCCTGTAGATTCACCCCAAATTCTTTGTTGTGCAAGATCCTATAACCCCTTCTTGGGGTCTGGATTGGGACCCCTTTCTATAGAAGTAACAGAGGGAGCTCCCAGGTCTCAGAAAATTTTCCTTTTGGTTTAAGCAATAAAGATACCCCATGCTGGTACCCAACACCCATAGGAAATTTGTTAAAGGGCCGGGCCACCTCCACTCAGAGTCCCTCCAGTTGGTTGCCAATTTGTAAACCAAAAAGTACGTGAGAGAAGTCTTGATCGATACAGAGGGAGAGGTTGCATGCACAGTGTGTTTAATAGAGTTGTATCCATGCTCAGTTGAGGCGTTCTTCCCTCACCAATCGAATGACCCCAGAGTATGTCAGATAAAGCCTGCAATTTTGTTTCTTAATGCACATGTTTGAGCCCACTGGCCAAACTCCTGAGATCTACTGGGAAGCTGCTGATCACCAGTGTCATGTGTTTCCATTTATTGGGAGACTGCCTTTCCCTGGCTCTGGCTGCAACCAATTATTATTGTAGAGAGACAGTTAACAACAGCCTTGTTCCATTCAGGCCTTAAGCTGAGTGGGTGAGGCCCGCCAACAATATGGAGGGCAGTCGGCCTCACAGAGTCTACCTGCTTCAATGTTTATCTCACCTTAAATCACCCTCACAGACACACCAGGAGTAATGTGTGACCAAATTGCTGACCACCCTGTGGCCCAGTCAAATTGATATGTAAAAAAGGAATGTCAGGATTTAGACAGGATTTTAGCACTTGCAGCCATCAGCCTTGCTGGGCGTAGGCGAAAGGAGGAAACAATCAGGTCAGAACCGGGGAGAAGTGGAAAATAAAAATGGAAGATAAGGAAAGGGATGTTTGGGTAGGCAGGAAGGTGGAAGGGGAGGAGATGGAAAAAATAAGAGTAAAAAATAAAAGAAGGATAGGATGGAAGAAATGTAATTCCAGAGGGAGCATGCAGAGGCCTGAGAAGAGAGGCTCCCACTTTCCCTCGTCCCATTTCCCCCACAACACTATGTAGACCATCACTTCCTAGAGCCGCTCAGGCAGATTTTCCTGAATTCAGGAAGAAGCTAACAGAGTAGAGACCTGCAGGCTTCTCCTGAGGAATTCTCCCTAATAAGCACTGTCTCCTTGATACATGTCACCTCCCCAGTTCTCTGAGGAGGGCACAGTGAGCTGCCTGCCCTCTCTCTTCCCTGGAAGTTTGTCCCACTCAACAGAGCTCAGGTAGACCTAGGCGAGCAGGGCACATAAAGCCCTGCATGTATATCTCCTGGAGAGCATGCACACACTCACCCTGGATGGCCCTGCCTTCATTGACAGAGGATTCCCAAAGCTTGGTCTGGAATGGTGATGACGAGGTTGTGGGCAATTCATCACTGTACAGAGCACCATGCTTTTTAAAATGGACACAGCCTTGAATGGGGGAGGAGGTAAGTTTTGACTTACACATTTGTAAACTCTTGCTGCAGAGGCCACTTTCTGAACCTCTGGAAAATAGCAGTCTCCCTTCCCTGAAATATTTTTGCCTGCAAGTAGTCTATACTAAACAGCTTTCATGACTCTGTTCTCTGGGCAAACAAGAATCCCCTTCACATCTCCCATTTGAGGTCATAGCCTAGCACCTCTCACCAGGGGCTCCATGGATTCCTAGGGGAGGTCTTGCTTCCTTTGCCCCAAAAGCTTAACACGAAGGAACCTGGAGCTCTCTCTTCCTCTTTGGATTTCAGCTACCTTCAAGCTGTGTGTTTCCAGCTCCTGTTCTCTGTGAAGTACAGTTCCATATCCTGTATCAACCCATTTCATTTTCTTATCAACCCTAGGAAGTGATCATTACCATCCCCATTGTATACATGAGCCTCAGAGAGGCCAGAGAGCCTGTCTAAAGTCACAAGGCTAGTCTGTGAAAGAGCTGGGATTTGAATCTTTTCTGCCTGCCTTCGCTTCTCTGTCCCCACCTCCAAATTCCCCTGCCTCGCTACTCCATGTCCACATGCTCTTTCTGTGTCCACGTTCTTGAGGTTTGTGAGGTCTTCCAGAAGCAAGTACAGCACTTTCTCCTGGAGAAACAGGACATAGTTAATCACCTTCTTCTCTTTGTTATGATTGAGACCAATCATCTTCAGGTGAGAACAATTTCCATATCTGTGTGATTAAGAGCAGGGCTTCTCAAATTGGGAATTTTGTGGACTAATAAAAATAAAATAAAACTGGGTCCCAACAATTTCCCCCATTAAGGCCATTTCAAAGAACACCATTCACTACCATTAATCCTACCAGAAATCATAGTTAAACCTTATAGAGCAGGCATCCCCAAACTTTTTACACAGGGGGCCAGTTCACTGTCCCTCAGACCGTTGGAGGGCCGCCACATACTGTGCTCCTCTCACTGACCACCAATGAAAGAGATGCCCCTTCCTGAAGTGCAGCAGGGGGCCAGATAAATGGCCTCAGGGGGCCGCATGTGGCCCACGGGCCATAGTTTGGGGACGCCTGTTATAGAGAGATGTTATGATGAACCATCTTCGATGTGTCATGTGCTAGGGCTTTATATGAATTATCTGATTCTATCTTCAGCAAAACCCCATTCAATAACCCTATTCAATAGGCATTATTACTATCCTCATTTTGTAGACATGGAAACTCAGAAGGAAAAATATTCATTGCTCTTGAGTCTCTAGGGATAATATCATCAGACTCTCTCACATCCTTGTTTCATAAGAG